CAGATCGATATTTATCATCATTTATCACTATTATTATTATTACATGTCTATACTAGGTTCACACTGACTTTTAAATCTGCATATTGTAATAACTTTCTTATTTTAAATGCTACAGACAGCGGTTTTTCTCCATTATAATCCTCTCCAAAACCCTGGTATTTTGATATATGATACAACTAGAGCGTAGTTATAGAAAAGGAGAAGTGAAATCAAAGCACATGGACACTTGAAGAGCACTTGACGCCATTACTACCACTCACGTGCGGTTATTGCGTAGGCGGATAAAATAAAATGGCCGCTGCAGCTACTATCAAGAAGAAGTGGGAAACAGACTTTGAACAATGTACAAGACTCAAAGCAAAGGCCAATACAATTATAGGTAAAGTATAAAACTATCTTAACTTCATACATATACAAAGACAAGGAAAAGGACTCCATAATCGTGCAGCAAATGCTACGATAGGTAGCCATACCTTTTTTTACGTTGCTTAAGCCTTTATGCTAGTCTCGCGCGGCCAGACTCTCCACCCCTTTTTGACTTTTAGCCTTTATGCTATACTTTTGAAGGCAGGATTTGTATATATGCCCCTAATAACACTATACTTGCTACTTTTCTGTTTTAGAACTGAGTATTATAACAATAAGAAACATTGTGTCAGAATGTTACAAATAACAGTCCAAGATCTCAACTTGAACATTGATAGATTGAAGGATAAGCAGTTGATATACAGGAACTTGAACTAAAGACACAATTTTATCAACCCGAGTCTTATTATCCATGCCTGTGGTGAGTTCGGTGATGAATAGATGATGATCCCACCATAAGTTACTAGGAGATGCTGCTGTACCTCTTCTAATTAATCTGTGACTGCTCACAACTATGAGGAAGACATCTGGCTAGTTTTAAACTTTTAATTTACTATAATTTAAGTTTTATTAATAATTATAATACCTGAGATGTGCTGTATTTGAGATAATCATATTCATAGTTGGTATACACAATATAAATAAACACTTAACAAACAATTAGCAGCTACTTCACACGTGACCACCAAACCTGCACTTATAATAACAGTAAAAAGTCAGTGTGAACCTACTATAGTGTATGTAGCTGTGGCTGTGATTTGCCTCTATCAAAGCTTGTGGTTAACAGGAAAGCCCATACATATTATACTGCACAGTACTACATATTCCACACAGTGCTACATTTTCCTACCGTGCGGTTATTGGAAGTTGTAGCACTGGCGGCGCCTTTGATCCGCCCATGCACCATACTACAAACTGGTATATTTCACTCACAACGGGCTTACAATAAAATAATGCCTTCCACTATCAAGGTCTTCAAAATGATATGAGTTTTCATAAATTGTGACATTAAGAGCCTAAAATATTTATTATTATCATTTTTAATTTTAAATTAATCATACTTGATATGTATTGTTATCATTGCTAAAGTAGATCTGGTAATGAAGTATTTTTCCATTCGGAGATTCAGGATTTGCCCATTCAAGTAATACTGAGCTACTGCTGGTAGCTGTAGCAGTAAAGTTCTGTGGAGCACTGGCAACTATTTTAAGTATAAAAATCAAGAAAAGCTAGCATGTTCATACCTCCAGTAAATATGTGAAT